CTCTTTTCCTGTTTGATGACCCGTTGACGTAGAGGCTCCAGGTCGATAGGTCCCGAATAGTTTCTTGCCCGACTTTGCTAGACTACTGCTCGCTTGGGAGATAGGAGAAATCCGAGATGAAGTCTGCAACAGCCTGCCCTTTGATGGTCGACCTGGGCGTATACTTTAGGTCGAACTGGCTCAGCTCCATGGCCCATTTGAGCAGTTTCCCTGAGGCCTCTGGTTTCTGGAGGACCTACCTGAGGGGGTAATTTGTCATTACATTGATCGTATGGGCATGGAAGTAAGGTCGTAGCTTTCTGGACGCGATCAGTAGGGCGAAAGCTAATCGCTCCATTTTCGGATACCGCATCTCGGTATCCGATAGACGCTTACTTGCATAATACACTAGCCACTGAGCTTTTTCCTCTTCCCGGGTTAAAGCTGCACTGACCGCGAACTGAGACACAGACAGGTAGATGAGCAGGATTTCTTGTGGAAGAGGTTTAGAGAGGAGCGGTGGTTTCCCAAGATGCTCTTTTATACTCTGGAAAGCCTGCTCGCATTCGGAAGTCCACTCGAATTTCTTATTGGCCTTCAGAATATTGAAGAATGGTAAACAACGGTCTGTTAGCCTTGATATGAAGCGACTAAGTGCCGCTATTCGCCCGTTCAGACTCATGACCTGCTTTTTGCTGATCGGGCTCTCCATATCGAGCAGAGCTTGAATCTTTTCGGGGTTTACTTCTATGCCCCGCTGATTGACCATGTACCCTAGGAATTTTCCTGATGATACCCCGAATGAACATTTGAGAAGGTTCAGCTTCATTCCGTAGAGCCGGAGTATGTCAAACATCTCAGCGAGATGCTTAATATGTTCTGAGGCATCCTGGGTCTTGACCAGCATGTCGTCCACATAGACCTCCATTGTCCTCCCGATCTGGTCGGAGAACATTCGGTTGACCAGCCTCTGATAGGTCGCACCCACGTTCTTGAGGCCGAAGGGCATCACTTTGTAGCAGTATAGCCCCCGATCCGTAATGAAGGTCGTATGGTCCTCATCTGGCTTATACATCGAGATTTGATTGTATCCCGAGTATGCATCCATGAAGCTTAACAGCTCGTGTCCCGAGGTGGCATCAACGAGCTGGTCAATTCTTGGCAGGGGTAAACTATCTTTTGGGCAAGCTTTGTTCAGGTCGCTGAAGTCTACGCAGGTTCGCCACTTGCCATTTGGCTTCTTTACCAGGACCGGGTTGGCGACCCAGGTCGGGTAGAGAGCCTCGCGAACTGATCCATTCCGGAGAAGGTTCACCACTTCTGATTTTAATGCGGCGTACCGCTCCAGATCCATCGCCCTTCTCTTTTGGCGAACTAGCTTAGCTTCACTGCTGACGTTCAGCGAATGGCAAATAACGTCCGGGCTGATCCCGACCATATCTGCATGTGACCAGGCGAACATATCAATGTTCTCCTTCAAGAAGTTTACCAGCTCAAAAGCGAGCTGAGGGTTGAGACAGCTCCCGATCTTCAGCATTCGGCTCGGCTCTTTTGGATCAACCGATACTTCGGACAAATCCTCAACCGGGTTGCTCGAGGGGATTTTCTGAATCCGTGGGTCTATATTATCTTCCGTCGGACCAGGCTGTGGCTCGATCCGGCTGATCGCCATAGCCTGACGGGGCGCGCTTCGCGAAATGCCCTTCCCCTTGTCGGCCATTTGAACCGCTTTTACATAGCATTCGCGTGATGCGCTTTGTGACCCGCTTACCTCCCTGATCCCTGACGGAGTGGGGAACTTCAGCTTAAGATGATAAATAGAAGTAACTGCCTTGAAGGTTCTCAGTAGAGGTCGCCCTAGGATTCCATTGAAGGCCGACGGGCAGTCCACGACCAAGAATTCAGTAACCCTAGTCACCTCGTCGTAGTCACCGAGCGTGACCGGGAGCTGGATTGTTCCGCTGGGGATCAGGTGATCCCTTGTAAAACCGTATAGAGGCATCGAGGCTGGCTTCAGGTCAGCCTCGACCAGGTTCATTCTATCAAAAGCGGACTTGAACAGAATGTTCACAGCGCTTTCGTTGTCCACAAGCATTCTGCAGATATTATGACACCCTATCAGGGGTGTGATTACCAGAGCATCCTCGTGCTGGTGGTGCAAGCGAGCTGCCTCCTTCTCGTAGAAGGTGATTGGTTCTTCCTTCCTGGTTTTCTAAGGTCGCTGCGATGTGCTCATGACCCTGATCAGGTCATGATGTGCTTCCCGAGCATACCTGTCCTGCGCCCCTCGCGTGTTTCCAGCAAGGTACGAACCTCCAAAAATTAGGTTCACACTGCTGTACCCGCTGCGATCATGGCGCTTGTTCTTTCGCTCCCCCTGGTTTTCTTTTGGGGAGTCGTCAATGTACTCTTTGAAGTGTCTCTTCTTGATAAGCTCTTTAATAGCCTGCTTTAGAGCTCGGCATTCGTTAGTGTGATACCCGTTATCCCGATGGTAACTACAGTATTTCTTGCTGTTTCTAGCCGTTGCAGGAGTTTTCATGGGTTCTGGCTCACCGAGCAGACTGGCTTCCTCGGATTTGTCGAGGATCGCAGATATGGACACATTCAGCGGAATGTATTGGGCCCTGTCGCGGTCGTGACGAGGAATGGGAGCATAGGATTTTTTCTGCTCGTAGCAAGGTTTTTTCCCTTTTTGCTGATCGTCATTATCTCCTTTGCGATCAACTCGCCTGTTGTCTCCCTGACCTGACACACTGCTGGTGTTGCCGTGATCATGACAGCGAAGTGCCGCCAATGAATTCTCTATTCGGAGATACTTTTCAGCCAGGTTGTAGAATCTGGTGAGGGAAACATCATCCTCAGCCTGCAGCTCCTTCCACAGGTCGGTTTGCGGGCGAACTCTGGCTATTATAAGAGTTCGGATGGACTCTTCTGGGGCATGAGCCACCTTGTTAAGTTCCTTGTGGAAGCGGTCAACATAGGACTGCAGGGATTCGTCTCTTTCTTGCCTTATGTTGCTGAGGTAGCTCAAAGGCATTGAAAATTTTCGGTTGGCTTGGAAATGCCGCAAGAACGTCATGCTCATCTGAGGCCACGAACTGATCGATCCCGCTGGGAGCGACCTTAACCACCGTTTGGCGTGAGATGTCAGCGTCACAGCCAAACAACGGCACTTCGCAAGGTCCGAAACCTAGTGGAGCTCCATCAGGTCGTTGAACTCATACAAATGATCCTGTGGATCATAGTTTCCATCAAACGGTCGCATATCCGGCATTCTGAACCCTGGTGGAAGTGGGGCAGCTAGCACTTCCAGAGAAAATGGGGATGTAGAGGCGACCTGTGCCTATTCGTTCTGTTGCTCCCTTAACCTGTCCAGAGCTCGTTGCAGCTCCTCAATTTGCGGTAATGGAGCCAATTTGGGGTTGTTTTCACCCGTGCGAGCCCTCCCTTCTCGGTTGCGGTTCAGGACAATCCGGAGATCAGATTCCTCCTCGCGTCGACCGGCATTTCCGGCCGTACTTGACACACGCTGACTAAAGGCGTGTGAAGATGATGGGTTGTGAGGGGCACTTTCACGACCCTCGCGGTGGTACGAACCGCCCCGCGAGGTGTGAGGGCCTCCTGCATAACGATCGGGATCGTTCTGCTATTGGTGATCGGGACCATCATGTCTAGCATTTTTGCTTGGGTTTGCCTGCATCGCGGCATGGGACAGCTCGGGGTCCACTCTTTCGCCAAGTCTCAGCTTTGCTGATACCCTGCTTAGGGAACCTTTGGTATTCGCCGGCCCTTGGGAGCCCGTAGGCTTATTTTTTGCCACTTGTTTACCCTTACGCTTACGCGTTGCAGTGCTCGCGGCACGGGCTATTGCCCTTTGCCACGCTTTTGCGCGACCTGCAGGTGTTTTTGGCGGTTGTACCGCTCCAGCTATCGTAGATGACATGCCTTAGTCCAGACGGTCCAACCTCTGGTTGACCGTCTGGAGAGTATTATCGAACCTCTCCAGGTAGCTTCTGATGGCAGGGTCCAATTGCGGGGATACCCCAGCAGCATTTTGCAAAATTAGAGGTATGTTGGAAGGGGTGTCCCTCTGGGCCAGGGGGACTCCTTCAGCATGCTGGTTCCCCTGCTCAGGTTCAGATTGGCGAGCCATTGTAGCTGTAAGACCAGTAGGTCAAAGATTCTCCTGATGAAGGGTAGACACTAAATCAGCCCTCCTTCCAGCGCCAAACTGTTGATGCTCAGTTTAAGCACCAACGAATTCTCACGTGTATAACATTGATTGGCTGTTCAATACACATGAAAAATAGATATATAAAAGCGAAATAAATGTAAAGGGAGTTTTTTAAGTGGTTCGGATGATAAGGTAGCAAGTCCTACGTCCACTGATTTGTATTGATATTAGTGGGTGTCAGGTCGCGGTCGCGAGCTGACTTACATAAGGCGAAAAAGTCAAAAATGATTACAGGAGACAGAGATTTCTTTTGTTTATGAAAGATGGCCGAATCCCCCTAATGAAGGGGTCTTCTTCTTTTATATCAGACTAAAGCGTTAATCATCACTAAATCCATGGTTGGTGGTGATTGTCAGGATGTAATCCGGCTTTACGTCCCATTTCCTTTTCCAAGCTGACATCGCACGACTTGTTGCAGAAAAAAAGACGCGTGTGGGCTCCATATCACTTGGCAGGTCTGACGTGTTCGCGTTGCTCTGACGGGAGTAGGTCACTCTCACGTGACTTTCCCACGTAGCCCTTCATTTTCCTGGGCATAACAACTTATTTCATTGCTTAACCAGTTTTCCATTTCCTGAATGATATTAGGTGTCCATATTACTTCTCACTAAAATTACTCCAAAAAGTATTGCTGTTCATAATGCCACAGAGGTTGCTAGGTTTGTGGTAGTTTAAAAATTACATATTCATTTTCATCAATCTAAATAAGGGCTTCTCTATTTTTCTTAATAGATTTGGCTTCACTTGTTTTTTCCCCAACCTCATGCTTAATGTCGTTCTGTAGGTTTTCCATGCTTTGCTGATGTTACTGTTTAGCTATTTGACTTTGCAATGCTTCTGGTCAGGCCAATGGCATGGCTTTCTGGTACTTACCCGTGGAAGAGGTGTTACATATCTACAATGGAATGCTAAAAGCTCTTGGTCTGAAAGGAAGAATGTATGTCTTCTCCTGATCTTTATTTTTTTGGTGAAAGATAATCATTGCTATTTTTTTTTAAAACTTTTGTATCTCCACATCATAACTTCATATGGCTGTGTTTAAAGAGTATGGTGGAAGCTGGGGGTATATACACACTCATGTCTGAATCAAACTATTGAACTAGTTTTTCATAAACATTTGATGTTAAAGGGTGCTTGGGTAACTCAATAACTACCTTTGACCCTCAGCTTTGATGGCCTAATTCTTTTTTTTTTTTTTTTTTTCTCTGGATGAAGCAGGTTGTGAACCAAACTAAGAATTTGTTGGTGAAATCTTTGACGAAAATGATTCAAAAGAAATATGACTGCTAATTTTGTCTTTGTACTAGCATTGCTAAATGTGTGATGCGAGTAGAGGGAATATATGATGTGATGCGAGCAGAGGGAATATATGATGTGGATGCTAATACATGTATTGATAAGCTTTCTAAAGACTTAAATATCAATGCCAGAGGTATGATGTTCTTCTAGTAATGCATGTTCATGCTGTTGTTACTGCCACTGTGATGTTTATGTTAAAATGCGTATTTATTAGCTAGCATGTGAAGTACTTACCGGGGCAGGATTACCTTGTCACATTTATAATTGTGAAGTATATTCAATTCCCTTTCATAGTAGAGACATGTTGATGGATAGAACTTTATGAGAAACACCCTTTATCCCTATCGCCGGGGGGGGGGGGGGGGGGGGGGGGGGGGGGGGGTGTGGGGGGGTGGTGGTTAGGTGTGTGGGGAGGGGATGAGACCAGCACAGATAAAGGCAAAAGTGTCATTATTATGATAGTTTAGTAATATTTCATTATGACTGAAAAGAATTTGATTAAGCACAATATATACTTGATATTTTTACCAGATTTGTGGATGATCTTGGGACTATTTAACTGCTCAGTTATGCATTGTCTGCAATGGGTAAAAGCTATATTGCAACAGTCTTGTCATGCATATTAGGGCTTCTATCTTATGCTTCAACTGAAGAAAGACTGATTATATGTGTTTTAAGTGTCCATGATTGCTTAATTTCACATATTTAGTTACCTTTTCTTTCCTATTATTTTATAGGGTCATCAGTATGAGCGGGTATCAGGTTTTATATGTGAGGCCTTGGATACATCCAAGGACGTGAGAGTGTGAAAGTGGTCTTGAAAAGGAAAACCAGGAAGAAAACGAAGAACATTATGAATCTGGATCTGACCGCCCAGAATTGAAGGAAAAGCATCTGATCTACAAACTCGAGGTATGGTCTTGATCCTTTGTGCTACTTACTGTGGAAGCTCTATCACATTAAGTTGTGGTTATAAGTTCTCAGGGATCATTTCTAGAACCTTTACATTCTTACTTCTCATCTGGCCTACTCCCACCATAGCCGTACCAGGAATATGATCTATTAGATCTTTAATATTCATTAAATTTATTAATCATAATATTATAGTTGTTTTTGATGCATTTTTGTATTTTAAAAATACACTATGATACACAACTTGTTACAGTACCAAAGAATCAACTATAGTTGTTACAAATTTACAAAATTAAAATTTTGAGTAATAATTGTTTAGGTAAGTACAATACAACTGGGAATATTATAATGCATTTACAAATTTACAAATGTTGTAAGTTGTGATTTATTCAAAATATAATTTATGGGGCATCTAGCTCTTGGGCTTTGCCTGTTTTCAATGCGCGTAACTTCAGTTTAATAACAAGCCAGATTATTAACTGCTTTATTATAACAATATTAAGTCATGAACCATGCCATGAGTAATTTAATTTGCCATCTTCAAAACAAACACATTTCTTTTACATTCATCAGCATTCTCTGTTTAGATTCGTGTGATGGAGAAGCACTCAAATTTTGTAATATGAGAATTTAATAATTAATGAATTAAAATTGCTATAATATAGCCTATTTTTTCTCCATTAAGGACCATTTATTCGGACGAAGGCAATTGCTTCTGTAAATTTAGTTTTTATCATAGAAATAGGGGTTTAAAGATAAAACAACTGATTCTTATAAAATAGTTCGCCTATAATTAAGGATAAGCAAATAAAAGCACAATGCTCTTCTCTTGTAACGATGCCCTGTTCTTTGCTATGCAGGGGGCCGCAACATCCATCAGACTATCACCAAGGTGAAAATTCATATGTTTGTTCTTTCTATTGTGAACTTTTAAGTTTTATGAAAGTTATAGCTTGTTAGAAAAATTCTATGACGGTTGGCAACTTTAAATTTTCTCATAGTGCTAGACTTGTTCAAAACCAACTCATGGGGCCCATTCCATAGGCAGTGTGCTTGATACCTTCAGAAATACTTTATACACCGGAAACTTGGGTTGTGCGGATTTCCACTGTCAAAAGAATATAGAAGAGATGAGACAAATACAACCAACCTCAAAATTGTAAGATGATACACTCATACAAATGGATTTGATTGGAAATTGATGTTGATAGGCTATGGATGTGGAATGGTGTTTGGAATGATCATAGGATATGTTGTGTTTCAACAGGAAGCTCGGTGGCTTGTAAGGATCGTTGAAGGAGGACACCGTCAAAAGGGGAGAAGGCCAAACAGAGATAATGTGGAAGAAAAGAATAGTTCTTACAAGTTCTCCAGTGTAAGTATTGTTTCAAAATTGTAGAGGAATGTTTGTTATCATCAAATGCAAACTTGTGTTAGTGTTGACGTATGTGGTCAATAGTTTGAAATTAATTTAGCTACTCTATTGCGAACTCACTCCTGTTATTTTCCATTTGCAGACTCTAGGGATTTGATTCCATGGAATTGAAGAATCGGGAGAGAGCGTTAACTTGGTATATGGTGAGCCCTGGTTTCCCACAATTTGGCAAAGTAAAATTAACTTGGTACTTACTGCATTTTGGTTTGGATTATTGGAATATTATATTTATACCAAAAAGAAAAGAAAATACCAGGATTAAAAGTGTAGAGCCACCAAAAAGAGGTTTAGCAGAGTGTCGATTTGTGAGGCTTGTGAAAGACTTTTGTAATTTTTGTTTCTTCATAGTGAAATTCTGTAACAAAGTGGACGTAGCTCTCATACAGAGAGTAAACCACTATAAATCTTGTGTTTGTGTGTAGTTATTTATTTGTTATTGTTCGTTTTATTCATTTTCATAGGGATTTAGGATTTGTTAGCATCCAATTAAATCCCCACAAGAACGGCTCAGGCCTTCAACGCATGATTGTTGGTGAACCGAAGCTAGATAATAGTGTGGTTAGCTACCATTGTGAGAAAAATAATAATAATAATGGCGCAAAACAGTCGGCCATTGCGTGAACCCTTGCCTGTTTATTTCAGTACAGATAATTTTGTTCCAAATAGGGAATCTGATCTTAAACTAAGTCCTGGTTTATGAGGTGTAAGACTAATTTATTCCCTTTTTTATTTTCCAACTTTTATTTAGGGGAATGTTGCAGAACAATAGAACACAAGAAGCTCTCTACGGATCTTTATGAATTCGGATTTAATGTGCTTAGAATTTTACTGATATCATAATAATTTGAGAGCAAACTATGAATGATACTGGTTTGATTTGAATATTTATTTTGAGCAATTTTAGTTAGGCATTGCATGAGCCCTGTCATGTCTAAATCTTTGTTACATCTAAGAACACAGTAACTTTCTCATTTCAAGCAAAAATCTATCTCATTCATTCAGTCACAATAGTTTGGCCAAATGGTTACAATAATAAGATTTATTTGCCTTTCACAAATTATATTCATAAACATCTCCAATCTGGAGAAAGTGGAATGGATAAAGCATCACGACTAGAGATTATAGTCAAGAAACTAGGAAAGTGAGCAATTATAGTAATACAAAACTTTCCAAATTGTATTAAATATGAACCTATATATATATTCTAGTTTTAGACAACTTATCAACCAAGAAAGTGAGTTCTAGCTATAAATATCTATTTTTTCTTTTCCTATGATGACTTACCGAAATGAAGAGAAAAAAAATAGAATAAGCATTTTAAAGTGTATTTTTTTCTTCATATGGAACAATCTTTATATTAAATATTATAATAATGTGAGTGTTGGAAAATAGACACATTAAATTATTGGAAAATAGACATTAGTGCTGAATAATGATTGAAATAATCAATCCTCTACCCCCTTCCTCACTGCATGAGCTAAAAGGATTGTATGATTGTCAAATCAAAAGATCTATATATTATTAGATGTACAAAATTTGTGATTGATTGTCAATAAATAAAATTGTAATAGAAGAGTAGGTCTTGACCATGCCTGAGTTAAAATACACATGTAATAAGATATTTTGAAGCTTATCCATGTAAATTCATATTGGAAATTGATCAAATTATCTCGAATATGACTTAGACAGTACGTTACATGTTTTCTTTTTTCCATGCATGGTAATTTGTGATTTTCTATTTCAAACTTGCTTATTCTACACGGCGCATAAAATATATGTATTTCTGCTTTTTAACTTTAATCGAAGGCATGTGGAAAATGAAAAACATATGATCAAGACTTTTGTGTAAATTGGAGACCATTTTAGCACCAAAAATGACAATTTCAACTTTACAGTGCAAGTGATGTTAAATTGTCAAACTGTTCATGTTCGAATAATGCAAAATTTAGTACCAAAATTGAAATGAGACTAGACAGAGTGGAATTCATGTAATTTAACACATGTAATTTAGTATCGAAAATTGTCATATATTAATTTCCACGGCTACTTTCTTAAAGTAGAAATTATTCTGGCATAGTTAGTCAGTCTTGTGCAACTTGTAATTTTCTTTGAATTGATTATGAAATGGTTGATTTAGGTAGAATTGTTTTTGCGAATATTTAATTTATGGTCTCAAATGTACTTAGATGGGAATTAGTCAAACTCAAGTCTCTTTAGATACATAAATTACGTTGTCATTAATTTCAGCAGAAAAAATTACAAAATTATTTTTCTGTATAAAAATAAACAAATATTCCAGAGAATGTGAGATTGGAAATTTGGACATTGTTGTTTTCTGGTGTAGTAGACCAAGCTTCCTACATGGTGGTTAAATCACTAGGGAAGTCATATAGCCTTTTTTCCACTGCATCAGCCAATTAATAAGCTATAATTTTCAAAATGCATGAGAAAATAAATTTAAACTAAAGAAAATTAAACTTCATAAATTCCTACAGAAGATATATCTCCAGCAGCCTCACTTCACTCTAGTTATGATAAGATTCCATATTTAAACTTTGATCTCCATTTTTCTTGATTCTAGAGAGTTTGATTGCAGGGCAGCGTCGAGAGAGAGCAAAAGAACCTAACACATGTATCTTAAACTTGATTTTAAGAGTTAAAATTTTCAAATTAAAGTTTGAATTGAGGTTGAATAATTATGAGTTACAATTCCATAACACTCTCTAAAATTTTTAGAATTTCAGTTTATAGAAGTTGAAAATTTGATATTTCTGTTAGATTAGAAGACTCTTCTGACAGAATTCCCTTCTTGCATATGCAAATAAAAGCATAATATCATTCTCTTGTGACAGAATGCTCGGTTTCTAGCAATGCAGAGGCCATAACATCCATCAGTTACCTTTGTTACGATTAAGATGGCTTATAATTTAATGTCAATAGTCAGATCAGGCAACAGATTAACTTGAAATTTTAATGAAGTTGCAGTCACAGGAGTATGATCTATGACTCAGAAAATAGTTGCAAACAGGGGAAATATAGAAAGATCTATAAAATCAGGAATGGCCACTGATTTCAAGAAATAACAATAACCATATATATATCAACCTTTTCAAAACTGTTTATGTTCGAATGATACAAGTGGCCTTTCAGATCTAACTAAATTCAATTATTTGATAATTTTAATGGTAGGATATCAGATTGGTTTGTTACGCTATCGTCTTTGCAGTCAATAGACCCTTTCTCTAACTTAGCTCAATTCCGAGTTTCTTAAGGCATGCCAAAAATTTGCAAATTTTGGACATTTCTAGCAACAAAAAATTTTTGGCCAAATTACCCAAATAGAATCAAAATTGTGGCAGAATTGTATATCCTAAATCTTATCTCGCAATAACCTTACAGATAATACTCCATCATTATTTGAATACTCATAAGCCACTCCGTTGCAATAGCAGGTGCATCCATTTTTGATAGAAATTCTCTGCTGATGAAATTTATCAAGAAATTTCCTTACATTGTTTTGAGGGAGAATTTTGCCAACCTTAACATTACTGTTAGCTCCTGAATCCAATCCATGTAAGACATTTGTGGTTTTTCTTATAGAACGTAGAAAAAGAGCTTGGATGGTCAGGACTAAATCCAGTAGGCCTCGGTTAGTGCTTGACCAAAGACTTGATGGGGTAGACATCCATGCATGACCAAGACTGGTGGTATGACAGATGTCTCTTTACAATAGCGAATCCAGTTTGAATTTTGTTTCCAATTTATGCCAATCAGATATATGAATCATCTAATTCAAAGTCATCATAATAAAATTCTACGTCCATGTACTAATTGTGTTGAACAATCTGGTTACATTTTTCTCTTTTTATTTATCTATATATACATAGACATTTCATCTTCATTTCTCATCTTTCTCATCCATTTATGCAATTCTTCTGTTTCCTGTGAAAAACAAGTGGAGACTACATGGCACTCTCTACTCCCCTGCCTCTCCTGCTGGACTTGAGTTTTCAAGCCATTGCTCATCTCCTTATAACTCTCTTCTCGTTCAATCAAACTTTGCTCCCTGAACAAAGCTTTGCCTTACTCCATTTCAAGACCTTAAAATTGATAGTCTTCTTCCTATCCTTGCAAAGAAATAATTATCTAAGACAGATTCTTGGAAAGAGGGAAGTGATTGCTACTTATGGGATGGGGTCACTTGTGATAGCTACATAGGTCATGGCATTGGCCTTGAACTTTCTTAGTTTGATCCATGGCACTATCAAAGACAATAGTAGTCTCTTCCTCCTTCACAACTCTAGAAGCTCAAGCTTGCTTGTAATGATTTCAGTGAATCCACAATCTCATCCAAGTTTGGTCAATTCACAAAATTACACATCTTAAACTTTCTTTCTCCGAATTCCATGGCATAGTTCCAACGAAATCTTTCACCCATCTAAACTTGTTGCGCTTGACCTCTCTGGTGCTACTTTTGCCCTTTGGTTACCTGAATTAAGCCAACATGTTTTAATAAGCACTTACGAATCTACAAAATTAAGATATCTTCATCTAATGGTGTGGATTTGTCTTCAGTTGCACCTGGCCTTGCTGAACTGTTTCTATTTTGATATTCTTTAG